CCCACAACTCTTGACCGTCTGTCTACACATGAGCCCTCCCCCTCGGCCTCTCTCACAGCACTGCTTAATTCCCTGACCTCAAACTTGTGAAGAAATACATTGTACAGTAGGTGTACCTCATAACTGTAGTAGATGCCAAGCTTCAAGAGAATGGACAATAGTAAAGCATACTAAATAAATTAGGAAATTATGAGTTTTGAATATTTACTGTCTCTCTTGAATGCAATTTATTCCATTGTAAATTTGTATAATTTAGCATTTCATCATGGTTGTGCTTAACAACAGACTTAGAAATGATCCCTAAAAATGTACACACAGCTCAGTGGAGTTGGTACCAGCCATTTCAGTACACCCCTGGATATAAAAATATCTAGTACCTACAGAGATGTTAAAACACTCTTGAACGTATTCTTTTATTTTTAAACTGTATTTTAAAAATGTGGTAAATACATGTTTGTATACATGCGTGCATGCACACACACACAAACATGTGCCACTTCAACCATTTTACATGTACGATTGAGTAGCATTAATTACATTCACTATGCTGTGAAATCAGCAACCGTAAACATCAGTTTCCAAATATCTTCATCACTTCAAACAGAAACACTCTACCCATTAACAATAACTCCCCATTCCCCCTTCTCCAGGCCATGGTAGCCACTTCATAAACTTCGTACATTTGCCTGCCCTGGCTATTTCATATTAAACAAACAAAAACATCTGCCATCAAGTCAGTTCTCACCCACAGTGACTTTACATAGAATTTCTGATGCTGCAAACTTTATGGACACTGATAGTCTCATCTTTCACCCTCAGAGCAGATGGTGGGTTTGAACATCTGACCTGATGGCTAACAGTCCAACACTTCCCTAGTAGTACTACCAAGTCTCCCAGCCTTTCTATAAGTGGTCTCATGTACTATTTGTCTTTTTGTGTTCGCTTTCTTTCTTTCGGCACAATGCTTCCAGGGTTCGTTCCTGTGTGGCACATATCGGAGTTTTGTCTTGAAGAAGGCTGAATAACTTTCCATTGTATTCAAGACCATTTCGTTTCTCTGTCGATGGACGTTGAGGCTCTTTCCCTCACCTGGCCGTCGAGAGGAGTGCTGCCCAGTTCAGTGATGTGAATGCAGGTGCCTGAATCGGTCACGCTCAGGATGGGGATTGCTGGGTCAGATGATTCTAAGTTTAGCTTTTTGAGGCGCAAGCAGACTTTCCCAAGGAGCTGCACTACTTTCGATTCCTATCACCTTGCTCCATTCTCTACCTTCCAGTGGATTTCAACTCACAGTGACCCGCGTGACAGAGTAGATCGGACACGCAGGGCTTTCTAGGCTGTCGTTTTTTTTTCTTTCTTAAATCAATGTGCGTGCTTCGTTTTATTTATTTATTTGTTTATTTCCTCCTTGCTTTTTCTACCCCCCTCACCCCACCTCCCTGGACTCTGTATACTTTTCAAAATATGCTTCTTCTGGATGTGAAAACCATTTCCTTTGTCTTTTCTAACCGGGGTCTTACACAGGATTTGTCTTTCTGAGATCGACTCACCTTGCTGAGCATCATGCTTTCCAAATTCGCTCATGCTCTGAAGCCTTTGATGACAGGCTCTGAAGGCGGATCCCCTGGTCCTTAACCTGCATTGTAGCTGGTTCCACTCCAGCCTCCAGCTGTTTAACCAGCAGCAGCCGGTGCTTAACCATTGCAACACCAGGCCTCTCTTTTACCAGTAGGAAAGTAGTGAATGTGAGGGCTTTCATATATATTTATTTACAGCATAGTGTCCCCTTTAGAAGTAAAAACCCTGCTGGGTGAGCATTTCCCAATGGCATTGTAGGGCTCAGGGCCTCAGGGGCATTTAAAAAAAAGGTACGCCTTGTGACTTCCCACCGTGGAGTCCTGGAGCCACGCTGGGGACCTGCGGAGGCGCCCACCGTGTTCTCTTGTCCCTGATAAGTACCAGATGCCATTCCGCCCCACCAGGGGCTCTGTGGGAGGAGAGGGGCGGCTGCCCTGTCAAGCTCTACAGTCTGAGGACCCTTTGTGGAGCTACGGTGGGTGTGTCAGCACCCACGGATGCAGCGGGTCTGGTTTCGCTGGTTTGATGTGTGTCCTTGGCTTTCAGTAGCCTGCCCTCTGACTTTTGGATTTCTCTTTTGGAATTTGGTGCCCTGAAGCCTCCTCCTGTCCCTTTCTCAGGAAAAGAAATAATTTTCAGAGAGGCTCTCTGCTGCCTTTGGAATGGATATTTCTTTTTTTTTTT